TTTTTTAGCATCTATATTCGATAGGATTCGATAGTTAAAGGTGTCTAGGAATCGCTTTGGCTATGCTTTGGCTAATGGGACTGTCGGGATGTACCAAAAAGATCAGAGGCTGTGGCGCATCAAGTCAAAAAGCGTCATCACTGCAATATTACCTTATCCTAATGAAGACATGATAACGTGTATTTGGAACTCTGGAAAGGTATGAACAGACTTTACGAAACATCTTCGAGCTTAGCTTATTTTTTAGATCGACGTTCGATCCATAAACGAAAGTGGTGAAGTAGTTTGTAGACACTCTGCTCTCACTGGACAGACTGTAATTGCTGGTTTTACGTCTAAAATGAACAATGAGAACGAAATGGAATTTGCTGTAGTTACGTCAGAAGGAAAAGGTAGGTAGAATCCTCTCGAGTATACCTATCTGATTGTCTTCATTCTAGTGTATGGTTACAACAATTCTAAGCCAAAAGAACTAGTGGACAAGACTCAGGAGACTCTACACTTGTTCGGCCAAAAAAAGCATAATCTTTTGGTAAGCAAAAATTTTAAAGATAAGTTAAAACTAGCTAAGCGAATCACTTAAGCCTAATGATTGCTAATAACTAGTGTAGAAATAAAATCTAATTCCCGTTATTCTACAGCTCGAGCTCAGCAATTTCGAGCAGGAAGAACAGTTAAGTGAAGCAGACAAAGAAAAAGACCTCCGCATTCCCATAGGGACCACAGTGGAGTGCAAACTTTTCGGTGAGCGTATTATAAGACGCTTAGAAAATAAACTTCAAAAAAATGGAATGCTTACAGTTTCGAAAAGCGATCGTACTCTCTATCTCGTTTTGGAAGCGTCACATTCAGTATGCATTCGTGGAGTTATCGCATTTGCAGAAGGGTTGTTCGAGGGCGAATCCTATATTTGGTTAGATTTGTCCGTTTCTCGAGTGTGATGTGTTTGTGCAAAACTTGAGGTTACAGAAAATATATTAAGTTCTCCAATGCATCAATAATTATTTAGGATCCCAAAGCTAATCGAAGGAGCTGGTGATCGTGTTCAAATCCCTATTGTCACAGAGAAGGATATGGCTAACGAGATCCATATACGCACTTTTCTCGGTCCTCCAGAATCGTGAGACTTTCTAATTGCACTGTCGAGAATGAGTTTTCTCTTAATATCACAAACTAACCACGGGAATTTATCACACCATCAAGTTTGGTCAACTGCCAAGTCAGCTTGATTTATGCAATTGCTCGTAACCTGTTCTTACAAACCAACTGCTTCCTTTTTAGAAACAAGCTGAGTGTCTTTGAAACGGCTCTATCAATCCCACGTTTTGCCCGATTCTGCGTATTGCAGACCGAGGATGCCTTCTCCATGCCGAAATCTTTCGTAGAAACTAACTTTAAAATACGCAATCAGCGGGTGGGTTTTGATTCAACCAAAAACCATATAAAAGTTATATTTCCTATTAGCATACCGATGCAGGTAATGTGCTCTACCTAGATACTCGATTGGGTTATGGATACATTTCTCATTGACATTGACTATCCTATCGATCCCGAAGAAGATCTGATGGAAATCCGTTTCCTTGGCCTATCGTCAAAACGAGGCCAGGAGCTTTGCATTAAGCATTATCAATCGGACGGCAAGGTATGGAAATAACTATGATGTACATAATGATCGGTTTTGATTGTCTTTTTTTAGATGATAATCTATCACGAATGTATGGAAACTGTTGGGAACATCATACAATCCCTCTGTGATTACTTTGTCGTCGACACTTTAGAATCTCATGCCGAGTTCCCCGAGAAATTTGCAGAAGTGGAAGAGATTTGCAACGAGGTGAGGAACGACTTAGGTCTGCTTATAAACCTTCAAAAAACTACTGTCTTAGCTGGATTCAATGTACGATGTTCGTGATCGACTGACTACGGACTTATCAGAGAAGCAAACATTGCTTATGGAAGTTGTTGTCAGAGCGGAAGATGCTATAGTTATTGATGATTTGTAGGTTTTCAACAATATTGGGTGTACAACTTAATTCGGTCCGTTTGCAAAAGATGGCGCTAGGTGCTATAAATGGTTGAC